TTTAAATTTTAGAAGATCTAAAATGGCTGGAAGCATGGAACCGGAAGTGAGTTCCACAAGCGGGAAGTACGAGAAAAGAAGCTGTTAGCATAGAACTTATGGTTACAACCAATTCAACTGTGACTTGATCATCCCTTGCTACCAATATAGAACTGCGCTTGAATTCATAAAGTCTAAGTACCTTAGTAGAAAGAACTTTCATGAAACTGAACAATTACCATGAAAGTATTTACAGAAAAGGTACGGGGAAGTTATTTTGCGACAATGGGGAAAGTGAATGAAGCCGAGATGCCAAGTCAGCACCAATAATATTGCCGATTCGACTTTAGGTTTTATCAAGAATCTCTAAATATAAATCAGGTACCCCTGCCCATATGAACGGAGCATGGAAAAATAGTGAGAATCGACCTTACTGTAATAATGATAATAATTACAAAAATGTTTCCTTTCTTTTATGTGCAGTTTCCCGATCATTGCTCTCCACATCTTCCCGTCTCTTGTAGCTCTTAATACGTTTTGTCTTTCTTTTGTCCCACTATCAGCTCCGTCTGTCCTGTGAGCATCAGATTTTCCAAGCCCACCTTCCTCATTACGTGCACCAGAAATTTCAATTGCCTCTTCCTGATGTTAAGTATAAGTTTTATTTTTGTTTCCATTCTCTCCAAAACTTCATCCTTGCTTACATGTTATCCTCAGCATTCTTCTGTAGAACCATATTTCTGTTGCTTCGAAACTCTTCTTTATCTTTGAGGAGATTGTCCAGCATTCGGTGCTATACAAAACACTTCCCAGATCTTTAAATTTATGTACGTGCTTGGATTTATTATCCCCGACTTACAATTTACATTTTATGCTCATCACAAAGTTACATCTTCTGAACTCGAATTTAGAAAATACATTTGATAATGTAAAGAAAATATAAATTTGATTGATTTTGATTGCAATTTCGAACTGAACCCTTTATTTCGCTCACTGGGGAAGACTGTTCTAGTTCCACATGCCATGTTTGATGGATGTCAGTTATCAGTTATCACCTGCTAATTTTCCCTTTGCCTTTCCGAAGTGTGTTGTTTGTGTACAGAAAGTCATCATCTCCATAAGATTACCTATTGGAATACTGGTCCGCTCCTCTAGTGAAGAGTCAGAGGTCAATCTGTCTCTGACTACTGAGAGTGCCTCCTCCGTGGGTACTTTGGTGAACAAACTCACCACGTCCAAGCTCACCATCTGGTTGGATAGGTCAGTATAAGTAGTACCCTACAACGTAACAACTACCCTGGGTACATGGCAGCAGCCCCCAAAAAAAAACTGGGATAGGCGGGTACAAGAGAGGAGGAGGAGGAGGACAACAACACTTAGAAAACAGTCTGCCTGCCTTATATGAAGGGGTTATCAGAGAAAATACAAAGGATCTGTGGTCCATATAACATCAGGACAACCTTCAAAAGCGTGACAACCTTTGCAGATATCTCTCACGAGTGAGACCCCCACAGAGAGGAACATGACTAAAGACTGTGTGTACGCTATCCCGTGCAGCTGCGGAAAGGAATATAAAGGAGAGACAGGCCGCCCCCCCTCAAGGTAAGGCTTCAAGAACACCAGAAAGCTGTAACGCGAGGGCATGTAGAAAAATCAGGCGTGGCTGACCACATATGAAGAGAAGAAGGAGATCACCGTCTCCTGGGATCATGTTGAGATCATAGACAGGGAACACCATTGGAAAATTCGTAAACTTAAGGAATCAGCACGTATTCTAGGCCACAAAAATCTCCTGAGCCGACCAAGCATAGAAAAAAATACAATATGGGAACCAGTAATAAGGAGTGCCAGAGAAAAGCAATGATAACAAAGTTGCAATATGAACTCTGGTAAAGACATGCAATAACAGCAAAATTGCAATATGAGCACTGGTAAAAAAATGATGGCTGAAAACATTAGGTTTATAATACCCAGATGTCCATGGCACAGTGGATAAAGGCGTTGGTTAGATCCAGTGACAGACCTAAAGAAGGTGAGTTCAATACCTGGTTAAGGCAGTGGAGAACTTTCAGAGGGAAAATTAGCAGGAGATAACTGATAACTGACATCCATCAAACATGGCACGTGGAACTAGAACAGTCTACCCCAGTGATCGAAATAAAGGGTTCAGTTCGAAATTCCAACCACCTGAAGAAGGCCGGAGCGTACAACGGCCGAAACGTTGTGACAAATATGGCGACAAAGATGAGGACAATACTCCGACTAATGTACATAATACCTCATCTCAGAAATATAGACAGATTGCTCTCTCTATTTGGAATATTGATACAAATTCGATTAATACGAGAATGTTGATTTTCAAAGATAACTATCTCTATTTGGAATATTGACACAACATATATTTCCCATTGACTTTTTGTTGTCAAACTAGGCTTGATAAATATCAATACGTTATCTTGTAGATAATCTAAATTTAAAAAAATACGTAAATTCCTTTTAGAATCGTTGGATGTCTCTTATTAACATAGGCGATCATATCTCCCCACAGATTTTGGGAATATCTGTCATTTGTCATGACTTGTTGGTGAAGTATATGGAATGCTTTCTTTTGCCTTCTCCAAATGTTTGAATTCATAGATGCCCTATTGGAGTAAGATAGTTCAGTCTACCTTGCCTAAGAGAAAAAGACAAAGATTTCTGCCAATGAAAATGGCATTTTAATTACAAGGAGCACAGCAGACTAAGAGGGTCTTGAACTCAGCTCGTCAATCCCACATTCCGTGACGATAGCAATTATGCTACCCGCACATCCTAAGGAATATTAAGGCAAATGAAAAACAAATTCTATGTGCTCATAAGTAAATATAAATAGAACAATGGACGCGTGACGCGAACATCTTTATGATGAATTCTCAGCGTGTCTCGCCATTCCCTTGTTAAACCTCCTTTTTGTTTTTCCTTTGTTTTTCCTTCTTTTTTCTTTTGGTTTTTCTTTTTTTTTAAATTTTTCTTTTTTATTTATTTTTGTTTTGGCTTTTTTTTATCATTTATTTTGTCGTCATCTGGAAAATTATAAATAATAACTTTTGTTAAACATCCTCTTTGCGTTTTTGTTCTTTCTTTTTATTTGTTCTTTCTTTTTCTTCATTGCTTTTTTATTCTTTCTTAGTTTTTTTTTTATTATTTTTATTTCTTTCTTTTCATTTTGTTTTTTTTTTTCTTTTTATTATTTATTTTGTTGTCATCTGGTAAAAATAATAGCAACAAAAAAAAAAAAAAAACGGCACCAAAAATAAACTAAGATATCCGGAATTGATATAAACCAATGATTCGTTTAGTAAAGAAGATATTGGCGCTTGTTTTTAGATGTAAAGGTCATTGGTCTAGTCGTTTAGAAACCCTCTACCCTCCCCCCAAAAAAAAAAAAATTATTTCAAATTGATCTTCCTTTAAAACTGCATCCGTTTAGAGAAAAGAAACATATTTATTTAAACATTCTCATAGCGTAATAGGGGAGATTAATGGTGACATTTTCTTTTTCTTTTATTACCTTTCGACTTTTGATTTGTTTCCGGTTCTCGTACGATCACTGAGGTTAAGCAACGACGAGCCTGGACAGTAAATAGATCGGTGACCGCTTGGAAATAGCAGGTGCTGTAAGCTTGGACGTGCGGGCGGTGCAATGAATAATGTCTCAGAATTGTTAATCGGAGAGCCGGGTTCCAATTCAAGTCGGCTTCCTTATATTTACTTACGCGCAACTACCCATGGGGAAGTAATGAATCCACCTCTTCTGCCTCCAGCTATCGGTTAATTAGTAAGAGTTGTATTACTAAATCTTTATTATTATCTTTCAAAAGAAAAAAAATCATACAAACTAAAAATAGATTCTGGCTTTAAATAACCTGCAACGGATTGATAAGCCGTAAGAAATGAATCAATCAATAAAAACAATTGTTTATTCAATTACTACTTATCAAACGTAGGTGAAAGCAACACTGGAAAAAAACTAGGTACTACATTGTTAAGAACTGGTTAGCAAGCTGATCTTGACTGTAAAGTAAGTTCAGGGTAAAGGTAGTTCCTCATAGCCTTGTATCAGACTAAGCTAAACTTTGTAAATATCTAGAGATCAACTTAGAGGTGCGAGTGGGGTAAAATTTTTCGGAAAGTGAAATCAGTAATTTCCTTCTTCAGGCTGGTTTTGAATTCAGAATTTTCCTTCTCCTAGACTGGTTGCCACCTCAAGTTGCAATATATGTGCTGCTTCTACGATCCAAATAAGTTATGGGTCTAATGTTGTTTCTAAAGGGCAGCTTGGCAACTTAGATAATTGCTTATTTGCCACTAGTTTCAACGATTTAAGTTCGAATACAGTTACGAACTAATATTTTGAATGCTGATTTCAAAATCTAGAAAATGTTTCTTACTTAATGAGTCGGCGCTACACACTCTTTCCACCTCAACTTTGGCTAACCGGAATCAGAAATTAGAGCTATACTACATAGAAAGGAACGTGTTGTGCCAATGTTAAGAGGTGATGGCCTTTGGAAATTAGTGGGTATTATTTAGCCTTGGATTCTGTTTTAAATGCACAAGTACACGATTTTTTTTATTAGTAAACTGTACAAGCAACTGTACACAATTCTGACGAAATCTTTAGTAACTTCAATACTGACTAATGAGTGGCTTAAGTAAATAAAAAATAAAAATGTAAAAGAAAAACATAAAACCAAATAAAAGATTTTTTTAAGGTTTAGCAACCCTTTGCAGGTTATTTAAAGTCAGAAAATATTTTTAGATTGGAAGATTTTTTTATTTTTTTTAATAATGAGTTGATGCAAGTTTTACGAATTAACTCTTAATAGCTTGGGGGGGAGAAGATTTGGATTCATATCTTTCCGAAGAACATTTTTGCGTAATTGTATATACAGAAATAACGAACCCGACTGGAATTGGAACTCGGTTCTCCCATTTCCAATTCCGAGCCGTTATCCATTTCATTACATACATATCCAAGGTTACAGCACCTGTTATTCCAAAGCGGCCACCCCTCTCAGTTCTGACCAGACCCAATGTTGCTTAACTTCGGCGATCTTACGCGATCTGGTGTTTCAATATGATCTGGTCGTTACCCCTAAAATGAAATAGGTTATTTTCTTTTTACTGTATTCAAAATTTTAACAATTCTACTATTGTTTTTTATTTTAAGAGCCATAAAAGAAATTTTAAATAATCATTTAAGCTATTTGATTACTAATTTTTTCCTAAAAATTAAGTAACCCCAGTACCTGTACGAGCAAAAAGTTGCTTATAAAAACATCGTGACGAATATAGCTGAAGATGCATCCATAAAATTTGCAGAGGTTATTCGTCTTCTTTTATGTGCCTGGTGCTTTTGAGTGGCAGGTGATCAAGGCTCTCTACAACTTCCTAATAGCTTTGTAGCTTTAAGCAATGTTTCTGTCCCTTATCATTTCCAGTCCATGTTCTGCCAATGCATATAGATAAGCTCCTTTGGTAGTTTAATCTATGTTTCTATCTGGCCCTTTTTTTTCGGTGTATCTTGTGTGTGTCAAATTCTCCAAACCTTGTTTTCCTCATTATGTGTCCCAGACATTTCAACTCTTTCTGATTCTGATACTAAGTAAAAGTTTCCTTTTTCTTTTTCCTGTTCCTTAAAACTTACTCTTTGCTCCCAAGTTCTGTACATGGCACTCTCAAGAGTTTCCTCTTCATCTGTGAGGAGGATTTATTTCAATCGGTATCACCCGATGCAAGGCAATAAAGCCACTAAGGCACAACGGTGTGAAAGAATTAGAGACGGAAGTATTAATAAAGAGCGGGAAGAGAAAAGAGTAATCATGAGGACAGTATTTATACTACATAGCGGTTCAGCGCTCACCACTTTCTCTCTAACAAAATTTTCCTCTTTCTTAATCATTTACTTAGCTTTTGGAAGGCACCTTTCGTTATTCTAGTGCACATTCAAACTTCTGTGTCAGATATTTTTGGGGGGTCCGCTGTTAATTAAAATTTTCTTCAACATTAATCGCGGAAAAAATTTTCCGTAAACATAGCTCTATTTATCACTAGCAGCATGGCCCGGCGTTGCCCGTGCTTGGTTCAAAAATAGTACGACTAATGCAGCAATCGCTATCACTTGACTTAAAATATTTTTGCCCTTCCTTGCCTTTAGAGGTGTGCCCTTTGCCGTGCTGATGTTGTTACATGCCTTACTTCTTGCCTATCTCACACCTCCAACTTTTTCTAAGCTCTATAGTAAACATTATATCTGTTAAGAAAAAAGAACTAAACAAAATAAACACAATACGATCAGCTTTAAAAAACCGGAAAAAAACATTTTTATGGGTTGACCGATTGTCGATTTGCACTCTGTTTGAGGGGGGGGTGCTCAGAGTTGAAGCTTCACATGATGACTCCCAATGGCCTCTTCATAAATTCGCTCGGTTTTTCGCTAAAAACCGACATGCGGTTCAGACGCAATCTGGGCGTATCGGTTTTGGGGTTTTATCGATTTTCCGCGCTGTTTAGGGGTCCGTGGTCATGAAACTTCTGGACAACACTTCTAATGGTAGACTCTAAGAGGGTGTCAAATTTGGTTGAAATGCGATCATTCCTTCTGTAAGCAGAATCCTTTCGATTATCGATTTTTTCGGAACCTGATTCCGAACTCAAAAATCGGGCTCCGTCATGTCCTTACGGCAGCCATTTGCAAACTTGTGTTGAAAACCGCATCGAAATCAGGTGAGAAATGCGGCCTGGGCGAGGTAACAACGCCCACGACAGACACACAGACAGACAACATGAGAAATATAGATAGTAGATTATTGAAACAAATCATGATATAACCGGAATATATATTTCTTCTGTGGCGTCCCGTTTAGAAAGCTCTACTCAATCAGTTATATTTCCTTTTCTGTTTATAGTGTTGCTCTCTATAACTAATTATAGGTGTTGTTGGTAAAACGATAAACTACATCCGCGTCCTCGGTAAGACGATAAACTACGACCGAAAGCAAGGCTTTGATCAGAAGGTTTTGGGGAGCATGGAACCACATTTTAATTACTGTTGTTCCCAGGTGCACCCTGACCCAGGTGCACCCTGTCAGGGTCTCAGCTATGAGTAAATAGTTAACCCCACAAAAGGGGTCAAAACACTATGAAAGTAGAAAAATAGGTTTTAATACCAGCAATAATTATTTGGAAAAAGTTTTAACCAGCAATATATTTTTGAAAAAAAAATTTACCTGTAATACATTTTCGAAAAAATATTACAAGCAATAAAAATCTTGTCGAAATTAAATAACCCATTGATGTTGATATGCCGTAAAACAAAACAAAATTATAATAATAGTCAAAACATTCCGACGCCAACATCAATGCCACCATCAATTTGTTAATCGTAATTATTATCTTTTATATATATATATATATATATATATATATATATATATATATATATATATATATAAATGTAAAAGAAAATAGGAAAACTGTAATAGTGTCGACGCGTTTCGTCCAATGTGGACTTTTTCAAGGCAAAAAAGAAATGAATTTATTAAACAAACTAATAATAAAAAAAAAAAAATAAAATGTCTTAGCAACTGGAAGAATTTAGGACATTTTGTTTTGTTATTATTACTGTTTTCCTGTAGTCTTTTACATTTATAAATATTGTCTTTTTCTACAGGTTAACTCTGAGAAATTTTTTTCATATATATATATATATATATATATATATATATATATATATATAAGAAGCTGATAATTACGATTTAATTACTGGTAATCGTAGCTGCTATTATTACTTTCTCGATATCTGATTCATTTTCTTTTTAATCATTTCACCTCAAGCAAGGGGGTATATCGCCACTAGAACGCAGGGGGTTACAGGGAGTGAAAGAGAATGAGAAGACATTTGTGAGAAGTGATGAAAGGACAGTAAAGGAAGAGGTTTCAGGGAGACAGTAGATGGCGATTGACGTGGCATTTAAATTTTTGAAGATTGTAGTTTGCAGGGAAGCAAGAAATCGGAAGAGACTTACCCAGATAAGAAGTGCGAGAAAATAAAATAAAAAATAAAGTAATAGAATAGAAGTAACGGTTACATCTAGCTCGTTCAACAGTAAAACAGTGAAGCCTAGTTGTCAATCTCGTAGCACGCTTAAATTCGTGCCGTTGAGACACTAGAAAAAAGAGCCCGTCACAACAATTGCCATGAATATATTTGTAGAAAATACAGAGGGAAGCCACATCACGTTTGTGAGAAAGTGACTAAAGTCGACATCCCAGATCAGCATCGACCACATGACAGACCCTTCTTTGAATATCTGTCTATATTTCTAAGATGAGGTATTATGTACACTATTTACATTATTCGGACTATTGTCCTCATCTTTGTCGCCATATTTATCACAACGTTTCGGCCGTTGTACGCACCAGCCTTCTTCAGGTGGTTGGAATATCGAACTGAACCCTTTATTTCGCTCACTGGTGTAGACTGTTCTAGTTCCACGTGCCATGTTTAATTGATGTCAGTTGTCAGTTATCTCCTGTTAAGTTCTCCACTGCCTTAACCGGGTATTGAACTCACACTCTTTGGGTCCTGTCACTGGATCTAAATAACGCCTTTATCTACTGTGCTATGTGTCCTTGAGGAATTTTGTCAAGAATTTCAAGATATAGAGCAGGATCACCAGACCGGATACAGCTGTAATATTCCATGCACCGACGATTGGTAAATTTTTAAATGTGCAAGATGGATTTTGACGGGAAAATTTTTTTTTTTTTTTTTTAAAAAAAAAGAAATGTGGACGATAGCCAGAAGACATTTTCTCTTTTTTTTTAATTTTATCTGAAAAATATTAAAATGATTGATATTTTTTGTCAGTATCGTCATCCTTATTTTGTCAATATGGTAGAAAGTCAAAATATCATGTTTTTTTTTATTTACACTCCATTATCTTTATCTTTTTGTTATTATCACAAAGACAGCCCTACACGCAAGCCGCTAGTGGCCCGCTGGCCCGCCGCCGATTGTAACGCCAGCGATCTTCTGGTGGCAACCACTGGCAGGCCATCAGCGAGCCACCGGAGGTCCGCCAATGATGACATTGCCGAGACGAACACGCCGGCGGCCCGACAGCGGACCACCAACGCTAAACGCTAGTGGCATGCCATCCAGTTGCAGATTGGTTGTTTGCGTATAGGGAAATGGCCGTAAATCTTCAACAGCAGCTTGTAACAAAAGAAAAAAAACAAACTTAATTTTGTGTAGACAAGCAAAACAAAACGCACTAATCAGCTGACAGGCTGATTAGTGCTTAAGGCACCAAGTTTTCCACAAAGAATTATCCTGCGCTGCAATAGCCTAATGGATTAGAGAGTCCATTCGTGGATTTGGTGACATAGTCATTGCGAGTTCAATCCGAGCTGTGTGTACTTGAACTCAGTAGAAACAGGGCGGGCAATGACCGAGCAGTATTAAAAGTAAAAACTAGACGAGATGACCCTAGACATGAGGAGTGGGACGAGAACAGTTTAAACCCCTAGATTAAATAAAGGGTTCAGTTCAAAATGCTCTGTTGGGTACCTGGATCTGTATAAGCCTGATGAAAACCGGTCGAAACATTGTGAAAGCAATAACAAAGAGCTTTGCTTACAGTACCAGGTGTTCTTAAGCGGTGATTGGTAGCTTAGATGTAGCACAAGGCCAAAAATATGGGGCACCCAGTGAGGATCTAGCGAGACAAGCTTACTAACCACTGCCCCACGTCAAAGTAATAACAATAATACAAATAATAGAAGAACTAAAGAAGAAGAAGAAGAAGAAAAGAACTAAAGACGAAGAAGAAGAAAAGAACTAAAGAAGAAGAAGAAGAAAAGAACTAAAGACGAAGAAGAAGAAAAGAACTAAAGAAGAAGAAGAAGAAAAGAACTAAAGACGAAGAAGAAGAAGAAGAAGAAGAAGAAGAAAAGAACTAAAGAAGAAGAAAAGAACTAAAGACGAAGAAGAAGAAGAAGAAAAGAACTAAAGAAGAAGAAGAAGAAGAAAAGAACTAAAGATGAAGAAGAAAAGAACTAAAGACGAAGAAGAAGAAGAAGAAG